ACTGCTAGAAGTTTGCTTTTAGTCATCTGCAAGTTAGCAATGAACACACTAGTGTCAAAAGCTTGCGTGTGGTTTTATTTACTTGTATAAGCCTGTTTTGTTATCTAAGGTTGCCTATTCATACTAATTGCATTATGTTCGAAGGAAGGCTATCGGAAGACACACCCTCTTTTTAAAACGCCCGAGAACAAGTTCTTCTCCTTGTCTTCGAGCTCAAGTTCCAGAAGTCAGAGAAACAAGCTAAAGCATCATGTACAATGAGCAGTAAATTTCCTTTATTAAAAAGTATGGTACGACTGAAAAGACGCTCCCAACGTCTGAATAAATCAAATAAGCTCCTATGGTATTATATGTCAGTTGTTACCAAGCCCCTACCTTTAAGATGTTGGTCAATGTTTTTCTCTCCGTCTTTTATTTATGTCTTTCTGTTTTAATTTATCCTAAGCGCTCAAATAGCGGGAGGTCATCCAACTATAGTAGTACGGTGGCGATATGTGGGTATAGTACAATATGAGTGTCCCCGCATTAAGGTACGCTATGCTTTGGTGGCAGTGGTTAATTTCTCGTATGTTGCGTTCCATTAAGCAAAAGTACGGCATGGCACAAACCAGCCACCATACTTTACAAAAGTGATCCGATGACCAAAAAAAAAAAAATAAAATAAATAAAATTAAAGTTTCCGCTGTTCCCTAGGGATAAGGGCCAGAGTTACAATTGACTGATGAATTAAGTGCAATCCTTACATACGAAGCTGATGTTTATTAAATAAATACCATACATATCAAGTGTTTCGTGACTACCAAACTTTCAATATCTATTTACTAAGATTAAAGTTTAGACTGTATTACTCCCGGATTTAGATATGCATCAAACTATAATGTTTGTTTATGTTATTAGTTAATCCATAACATCCGTCTTATCGTTCCTATAAACAAGAAAATAGAAACTTTATTTAAGTGATTAACTTAAGCAAATTCTTATATTGTAGAAGTCAAGCCAAAATATTTAAGAGCTGAGTTTATGAAAGGTGAACTTAATTTACATTTTAATCCAAATTGTTTGAGGAAGCATTATCGTTCTTACTTCTTGAAAATATCAAATAAATATCATTTTGGAAGTTGTCATGAAAAAGGAGTTTATTGTTTTGATTATGCTTGGGGGCGTGAACGGTAACTTGCACTTTCCAGTACCGTCCATGAACAGGCTCAATCAAACCGAGTCTGCAACATTCTTACAATTTTGCTGTGTTGGGCTTTTTTAAGGATTCCGTTTTTCTCTATTTCAAAAACGTATGAATGAATTTACATCAGTACAGATGACGTATATATACTTGTAAACGAATTTTTCAAACTCCATTCGGAATACCTCACCGATCATCGATAATCCGAAGTTTGACGGAAAGGGAAGAAAAGTTGCAATGGTCATTACCTCGTGACAGTCCGGAATATTTATTTCTTGACGTCATATACTAGTATGTCATGAATTAAGCGTCGCAATGATGAATACAAAAAAAGATCACTATTACAGACATGATTAAAAAAACGGATGACGGATATGATACATTGCTAAATAATCTGTTCATCAAGGGACGCAACCTGACAATATTACTCGTAAATCATTTTTTTTCAATTGTGTCCCTTTATATAGCAAATAATACAAAAAAGTTACTGTATGCTTCAATGGACTTTATTAGTAATAATGAAGTTCAGAAACTATTTTATGACAATAATATTTTAACAATAAAGTCGATGCCTGAGCAGATAATAATAATAATAATAATAATAATTTATAATAATAATAATAATAATAATAATAATAATAAAACACACGAAAATAACAGAAAATACACATAACAAGACAATACAATACAATACAAAACAAGACAGGACAAAAACAAACAAACAGACATACATACAAACATAAACAAACAAACACAAAACAAACACATAAACAAATACACACACGTAGTTTCTTTTTTTTTGTTCCCTGAAAAAGAGAGAACGGTATATGGTATTTAACAAAATACTTGCTTTAAAGAAACGATCAGTTTTTCATGCACGTATTTATTAAATATTTTTTATATTTCAAAGATCAGTTTTTGAATACGCGTAATAAATACAATAACAAATATTTTTTTAAGGAATGCGATCCTAAAAAGCTCAGAGAGTATAGCAGTTACCGAGTAGTTCAACTATATACCCCTTGATCTTTAGATCTAGAGCGAGGGTACAATCCTAATTCAAGTCACTATGATAACTGCATACAAAGAACGTTTAAATGTTAGCTTTAGTTTTAAAATTTATCATTAATAACATTTTTAAATTCAGAATAATATTGCAAAAGCATAACGGAGTTTACATAGAGTAACTTTATCATTTGAAACTTATATAATTTGATTCACTAAAATAATATGAGTCTTACCTTACACGCTTACAGGTGGAAGACCATCATCAATGACGTCATATACGGTTATACCAAATGCTTCTGTAACAAAAGATGATTTCATGAGCTCACTGTCTTAATTGCTCATGTACGTGAGTAAATAAGTGTGAAACAGAGCTTTTGATTCAATGCACAGACTGACGGAAATTTTCCTTGATCGACTCGTCACATAATTTGTTTCATTTTACACGAAACGTTGGGATGTTATCTTCAACAAATGAACTGTATTCTCTATGGGTAAAAAGAATGGTTTGTCAAAGCAACAAAAATTCTTTCCCTTGAATTCTTTGACAGTTCTAGGAGCTTTTATAGCAGATTGGTTGATGTCAGCATCTGTCATAATATTTGTCAAGCTCTCCGTAACAGCCATATCAGCAATTTCTGTCAAATAAAATATTCCGTGTAGACTTCAAAGTGTAATACTCACGATTAAAACAAGAATAATCTTTACAAAACAATAATAATTGGCCGTGTTCAACGTGTATCAACCGTTTCTGAGTACCTGTCCGAAAAGTAGGGATAGCAATCAGGCCGTGAACTTTACCAGGTTCTTGCCCGACAAATACCGGGAATAGGATGGCAAAAAGACCGTAAAGTTACCGGAAGTAAAGGAGTAAAGCTGGAAACATTACGACATCATATGGCGTACAATAGTAAACGTTGTATATCAACAGATAAGACTGAAAGTTGTGAAGTCGTCATTTGATTGACTGTGATTGGTTAATCAGATTGTTAAGATGTGAACAGCGGAGAAATTTAAGATTTTATATAAAAGTCTGGAAACAAAGTGATCCCTCGGAAGCATTAATTACAACAAAATAACATAAGAATTGCAGACTCGGTTTGATTGAGTCTGTACATGAGGGATAATGGTTAAGTGCAACATCCCTCACGCCCCCTAGATCTTTCCAAAAGGTAAAAGCCGCCTGTAGCTGTGTTATGCATTTATTTCCGGTCTTCTGTATCATGCACTATCCCCCGAAAAATAATATACTAACAATCTTCAGGGGACGTTGGTCATATGGGCAACCGGTACCAACGATAAAAAAAGTCAAATAAAATAAGTTATTATGCCCCCCTTCGAAGAGGTGGGGGTATATTGCTTTGCCCATGTCGGTCGGTCGGTCGGTCCGTCGGTCCGTAGACCATGCCATTTCCGCTCAATAACTAGACAATGCTTAGGCTGATGGTCCTTATACATGTATTTGGTGTGGAGGTTGGTCATGACTTGTAGATGACCCCTATTTATTTTGGGTCAGTAGGTCAAAGGTAAAGATCACAGTGACCTCACCACGAAAAGCTTGTTTTTAGAAGATATTTTGTGTGTAACATTGTCTCATTGACAACTACAGGGTTTACTCAATAAATGGACCCATGGATCATATTGGTTCTGCCCCATGGCAATGATATACATGTATTCCATAACAAATTTACTATGCTTTTTTATACACATTTAAAAATTTAATGTTATAATAATAAATTGGATGTGTGTAGGGGGGCATACATGTTTTACAAACATATCTTGTTAACATCTGCATTGCGCTACTCTACACTTATAGCTATATTCAGTTTCGTCACTCGAACTCAACCTCCACTCAACCTCGGGAAAGGCGTCCTTTATGCTTCATTCACACTACACCGTATAGCGTAAACGGACGTCCAACGCATAACAAAATTTTCAATCCGTCCATGTCCGTTCGCATGCGTTTCTTTTCCGTTTATCATGCGGCGTTTGCGCTTTTTGTCCGGCGGTGTCCTGCGGTGTTCGTTCCGTTCGGTGGAAAGTTTTGAACATGTTCAAAATTTGGAACGTACACCACCGGATAAAGTTGTCCGTCAGATGTACGGTAACCATGCGCTAGTATGCGTTTTGTTCGTTACTCGTATGTTCCTTATTCTGTACTTGTCCGGTTCGAGTCCGTTCTTGTCCGGTGGACCCGATTCACGGCCGGACTACTAACGGACATGCAGCGGATGTAACGTATGTTAAACGGACGATAATGAACAAGGGACGTATAAGAACTGATAAATAACAGACATGAATCGATGGTCCACCGCACAAAACTGATGATGAATAAAACGAGGTTTCCCTGGTTATAACTGTCATATAATTATGTTCCTGCATTTCAAGTGTAAGGACCGTCTGAAACTTTGATAGTTTGAGTTAATGATCCACATATCATCGAGTGTCGTGTTAGAGCCCGCCTGCAGTATCAAGCGGCCGTGATCCAGGCACGTATTGACCTGTTGGATGCGAATGTAGATATTGTCGCTTATGAAAATAGGAGAAGAAGGAGGCGACTGCGGAGGTGGTGGTCAAAGGCTTGGCTGGGTCCTGAGAGACGTCGAATGTTTGGTCTCTACGATCAACTCATGATGGAGCTGCGGAGAGAAGACCAGCGGTCATTTACGAACTTCATGAGGATGCCTCCTGAGATGTTTGACGAGTGGGTCCCAGAATAACAAAATAATATACCACATACAGAGCCCCTCTTGACCCTGAAATGAAGTTAGCCGTTACACTCAGACATCTTGCGTCAGGGTCAAAGTATTCCAACATGCGGTTTGCCTGGAGGATACCTCACAACACCATCTATGTCATCGTGCGAGAAGTAAATATTTTTATTTTCCCATGATTCTAAATGATAACTCGAACAATTACGTGTATATAATTTCTGGTCTTTTAAAATATCAATAATTTGCTTACATGATTATTTCTACTTTTAAAATCGCATTTTTATTTACATTTTCAGGTGTGCAGAGCAATTATAGACGAGTATGTGGACGAGGTCATGCCTTTGCCAACAACAGCTGCTGACTGGAAAACGCATTTCAGATGGCTTTTGGAAAAAATGGGAACTTTCCTCACACTTTGGGTGCGTTGGATGGCAAGCATATTTGCCTGTAAGTGTCCAACTAGTTCGGGTCCACATATTTCAACTATAAGAAGTACTACTCCATTTGTCTTGCTGGCCCTCGTTGACTACGACTACAAGTTCATTTGGGCCGTCCCCTGGCCTTACCCTTCCCAGCATTGGTAGCCTTGGCATTTTGGAGCACGTGTGTGATCTTTGAGAGCTATTATGACGAAACGGAAAAAAAATTGGACTATTTATACCAGTTTTGTCCGTCACGTGACCGGTAGAAATACGCTCGTCGAACGTTCAAAGAACGTTTTGTCAGTTCTTTATGCGCTGCTTGTACGTTTTGTGCGGTACAAATCCGTTACTAGTACGGTTAAGTCCGTTAACTGTACGTCGTTCATCCGGTATATGTGCGTTGATCGTTCGGTCATTGTGCGTTTTGTACGTTTTATGCGTCCCGTACAGCGATCATGAGAGCACCGAGCAACAGCGGGAAATGCTTTTCATCACCGGATAACTTTCAGCCGCATATTTCTTTGCGTTTTGCGTCCTTTAACGCTATGCGTTGTAGTGTGACTGAAGCTTAAGGACGAATTGAGGATGTCTTGGTCAAGGTGAACTCAAGTGTAGAATTGGCATTCATATTTGAAAGTCTTCCTCGACTTACCCGAGGAAGGTTTGAGTAGCAAATCACCCGTAAAATCACAGTTATAGGTGATCTGTTCAATAAAATATACAATAATTATTATACCTCAATATATCCTTCAATGTAAAACTCCCATAGGCCTACAATGTGTTCTGATCGAATATCACCCTACTAGAATATATTTCTCGTGGAATATTTCTTATATCACCCTTGGGTACATAACTCTTACATAACTCTGTATTGATAAAAATGATAATGCTTTAGTAACCAGTTAGCATAATACCCCGGTCACATATTCACGGAATACGCCCACGGAAGAGCCACGGATTAATTCCGGCATCGTCCGTAGCTACCCGTACTGGCCAGTAGCTCTCCGTATTGTAACCGTAATCAATCGTAGTAGTCCTTGTATATCCGTAGCGATCCTGGACAATTTTTTTGAAACATGCACAAAAATTTGCTACGGAAAAATCAACCGTAGCGTATCCCTGCTAGTCCGTATTAAACCGTACTGATACGTACTGGTCCGTACGAAAACCGTTCTAGTCCGTACTGATTCGTTAGTCCAAAAACTTGTCAAGGATTTCCACGGTTTGGTACGGAGAACTACGTATAAGCTACGGTTTTAATACGGAAATACGGCATTGTCACGAGAAAGCCACGATCGTAATTCGTTGTACTACGGAGAGGCAAGGATTAGCACGGTCTTATACGGTTTATTGCGTTGCAACACGAAACGGTACGGAATGGTACGGTCCCACCACTGTTTAGTACGGATGAATTAAGTTTCATGTTGCTTTTTCAAGGGTATAAATACTACCTTCTTCTTAGAATCAGACATATTTGCGTGAACATTCAATAAATGATAAATTGCCATTTACTGGGCTGCAACTTTATATTTGAAATGACTCAGAATGCAGAGCAGTAGGTCGAGCTGCTTGATGACACGCATAGAAGTAAATTTATATTAATATCGTACTACAATTCATTAGTAATAGAAAAACATTTAATGTGACATATTTTACAAACATTGGATCGTGAAATTGGAGTATATATGTACATAAAACAAAGTGTTTCATAAGCCTCGGACGCTGGACCTTGAGTGATAATAAGATTAATTAACAAGCTTTTTACATATTTTTAAAACATAAACATCACGATAATTAATGTAATTGTAAAAATGAACCAAAAAATCTAAAAATTAAAAGAGAAGCATTATTGCCTCAACATTTTTCATAAATGATTACTAGTCCATATCTAATCAGTAAGAGAAGACAGACGAGATGGTGGACTAGAGATGGGCTTTAACGAAGACCGCTTAATGTTTAGTATGAGGCTCTCATGGCCGAACTTGTTGAGGAGTCTTCAAGAAATTCACTTTTATCGGACCTGATGTGCTCTCGGGGGTCGGACGCGATTAGGCCGAATCCTCTCCGCCAAAATCATTGAACTCTGCAATTCGTTGTCTAGGTGTTCTTTTCTTGTGAGGCATTTGAAAATGAGCAAGCAACAGGTTGAGGACGGATGAATTAGGTCCGTATAGATCCGTGGAAATTCGTTCTTCTCCGTATTCAATTCGTTCTTCTCCGTATCAGACCGTACTTAGTCGTACTAACCGTACTTATTCCGTAGCGAACCGTACTAGCTGTATCCGTAGTGCGGGTCCGTTCCTGATTCGTGTCGCTCCGTATCAAAACCGTCAGCGGTCCGTAACAATCCTCATCTCTCCGGGGGCTTTTGGTGGTAAATCCGTCGGACGCCGTACTCATACCGTTGTGTGTCCGTACTGGAACCGTAGCGGATTACGGAATTTCACATTTCCATAGTAATCCGTGAACGATTAGACCGTAGCTCTTCCGTGGCATTATCCGTGAATATGTGACGGGGGCATTATGCAAAATGACAGCCATGTGTTATTTATATAATATTGTTAAGTTAATATTTGACATATAAGTAATTTTTAAATGTACATGTTTGTATCCAACCGGCACAGCAAGAAAACAAGTGTCTATTACGGTGGCACAGATGTGACACATGGGTGTATTTATCTTGTTCACACGAGATATTATCTTGTTCCGACAAGATATTATCTTGTTCCCACGAGATATTATCTTGTTCCCACGAAATAATTATCTTGTTCCCACGAGATAATATCTTGTTCCCACGAAATAATTATTTTGTTCCCACGACATAATTATAGCCAATCAGAAGCTGTAAAATGGTAATATAGCAGTTACTTCCCCTTATTTAGTTGAACATTTACTTGATTATATATACATTATTACGCTACGCTCGTCCAAAATAAAAGCATTTCTTAATTAAGTAGTTGGTAAATGAACAACAAGACGTTTGACGTTTACAGAATGCGGTGCGTTACTGATCGAATTTAATATCAAAATCCTTATACATATATATAAATGAACAACTTTCAGCATGAGAACCAACAATGTAAACATATTATAACACATCTATGATGAAATACTGTTATGGTAACACTGAAAACATGTTTATATGTATTTGATTTTAAATGTCACCTAACACTGATGTAAAAGTACCACATGAAATCCGTCATAGAACACCAAAGCCGCACAGGAAACAAAACCATTTTAATGGATAAAAAACGTGTACCCGCAGCAAGTGCTAAGCTGTTCTCAGGATATGGATGGCGGGATATTCTCATCCGTGGTACAATAACACAAAAAATTAATGTTTATACATATTACAACCCGGGCTCAATTTTTTTTAAATTCTATATGTCTGTATGCAACGTATAAAATTAATAACTAAAATTAATTACATATGCTTCGATTAGGCGAACTAGGAAACAACTTTACCCTTTCAGTAACGCCCGTCGAATGAAAAACATTCTTAACATGTGTAATACATGTATACAAGATTCCCGCCTCACGAAAAATCCGTGCAATCTTCTTATATAGTATTACAGATGTGAATGACAAAATGACATACGTTACAGAAATAAGAAGACAAAACGACATAAAGAAATATAATTATATTCATGTATAACCATGTAGGTTGATCTTGAAAGTGCCACACTGTAGGGACATACAAAACCTTAACTACCAATTACTGGTGTTTAATAGCGCATACCCTAAGCTGGTGTCGCATTTGCGTGCAAACTGATCTGGGTCGACACTGGAGGGATACATGTAAGTAGCCTTTTAAAACTCTGTATTTATAAGGCGGTGGCCCCGCAGTGGCGATCAGTCCACCACGCGCGAATGAGTAATAATCAAATACAAATGTCTTAAATCAATGTAGCATGAGAAGGACCGTCTTCGAAGCACTTAAGAGAAAAGTCACAAAACACATTTAACACGTGTTGCGTATATGCTTATAACGACCATTGTCGAACCATATCCCCCGACAAGCAAATGCGTTATCCTGTCAAGGTCTGCACTGTTCGCTGTTGAATCAATAGGTCAGATTTTAACTGTCAAAGCAGTTAACCCCTTGATTAGCTCACATGGTTTATACAGGTTAACTGCTTTGTTTGCCAGATAGAGTTGCATATTTTTCTTAACTATTGACCACTTGACAGTAAAGGAATATGCAACTCTGTCCACTCCCCTATACCGTTCACAAACTTTCGGGACGGACACTTAGACACTCGGACGGACAATGGCAACGCTATATGGGGCACACAAATATTGAAGAACACAAACAATGCTAAACATTTTGCTTCGGTGAGTTAAGAAGGCACATGCCCCCGCGCCCCATCCGGATCTGCAACTGGTCATGCACAATAATGTATGATACATTTTACGTCGGGGGTAAACCAGAGGGTAAAATCACGGGTTAGTTGGATAGACTGTTACAGTATCCAATACAATAAATTACAAATTAACGTATGAAAAGTTTAGACATTTATCGTTAACCGATTTGGACATTTATGAGCACCTAATTTGTTGCGACATTTTTCGTTAATTTTTGGACATTTATCGTTAAAGGAGTTTTGGATATTTATCGGCGATTGAGACATTTATCGTCAATTTTTGGACATTTATCGTCGTTTGGACATTTTTCGACGTTTGGACATATATCGGCGCTACATCGTCTGCTGGCTTCACGGTTTCGGTCGTTGTATTGCTAGGCAACTCCTGTCTCAGAGTGTCGGCTGCCTTGTTAATGATGCGTGTCACGAATTCTTCAACTGAAAAAAAAATCTTTACACTTTATCTAATGAATTTTATGCATAGCGTCACATATTACGACATTACCTAAAGGCACAGTATGTCTCCGGAAATTAATACATAATTATATTCTTCTTTAAAAAAATGACAAACATCATTTTATAATGTAGTAATAATGGAATAATTGATCTAAAGCAGGTAAGATGCTTACAAACTGGAAAGAATAGTGCTTGAAGTAAAAATATTTTGCAATAAATGTAGCAAAGGGAAGTCAGTCTGGTGTTTTGACTTCAATAAATGATACTGACTCACTGTAACTATAATAATTGCAAAAAATCTAAAGAAGCTATCTTTTAAAAAAAATAAATAAAGCATTTTCG